GTGGGGGGGGGGGGCGGGGAGCAGAGCCGTCAGCACGCCGGTGGCGAATCTGGGGGTGCCTGACACCGGTGTGAGCCAAGGGCAGCTGGGCTGAACATCCGCCAGCCGAAGGGGTGGGGAGAGAAGACCTGGGGACCCACAGCAGCGGGGAGAAACAGCCAGGTACCAGGCCCCGACCACCCCACTTCTCCCCACAGAGGCGAAGGGGGCTCGGGGACGGGTCATGTTGCGCGTGCCTGCCGCAGCATTGCTCACCCATGCTAAGAGGGAAGGCACGCAGAGCTGTCCACAGCACGGAGCGGGCGCTCCTCACGCTGGCGTCACCACCGCCCTTCAGGAACTCCTCCTCTGTCACCCCCCTGGCCATGCACAGCACGATGTCGAAGAAGAGGGAGAGCTGGGGAGAGAAGGGACCCCGCTGAGTGCAGCCGCCCCGACCCCCACCCTGCTGCAGGGTGCTCTCCTCCTGCCCAAACCCAGCAGCACAGGGGCAAACAGGCCCTACAGAGACACCCAGCCGCGGCACCCGTGGGGCGAGGGGTCCCGGTCCCCCGCAGAGGGGCTGTCACCTGCATGGGCGGTGCCCCCGAGTCCAGCCCCATGTAGGTGCAAGCGTCCAGAGGAGGGATGACGTGGGTGGCCAGCAGCTGCTCGGCAGCGTCCGAGGAGAAGAAAACCACCCCGCAGACCTGCCGGGGCACAGCGGGGTTGAGGGCACGGCCGTGGTGACGCGAGGGACGGAGCTCGCAGGGCCACCGATGCCCGAGTTGTGTTGTACCAGGGGGACGGTGCCGTCGGGCCGCGCGCACTGCTGGATCTGGGCCTCCGTGCCTTTGTAGATGATGTCGCACACCAGCCCCTGGGAGCGAGACCACCTCAATGAGCTCCTCAAGGCGAGGTCCCATGGCTCGGCTGTGACCTTAGCACCCAGGGGACCGAAGGGGTGGGGCCCCCTGCGCCTCCAAGAGATGCCCCTTGAAGGGGGAGCTGCTCCTGACCTGCTCATCGGCAAGGTAGACGCCGTGGTTTCTGGCATACGCCTGGCTCCCGGGCACCGCGATCACTCTGACGCCCTGGAAGCCGTCCCAGTCAATCCCTGGAGAGAGGGACGGAGACCAGTGCACGCCGCGGCAGCGAGCGCACCCGCACCGGGCACGACTGCCTGCAAACTGGGCCCATGGCAGAGGCGGTGACAGCAGCACCCAGCAGGCACAACGGATGCTCCCAACCGCACCGGGGTCAGCAACACCTGAGCGCCCACAGCCGCACGGTACGGGCTGAGCTGGCTGTGCCACCGCAAGCTCCCACCCCTGTCCCGAGCTGCGGCGGG